CTCTCAGAGACTCACGCACACACATAACACACACAACGGCGACACACACACACGCCGTCCGATGAACATCTTCTTCCGCGACTGACCATTGTCGGACCGAAGGCTTAGGCACCAGCGCAACTCCGCCATGGCCATTCGCGCGACCGGACATTGTCGATCTCCCGCCGCTGCTGTTATTCCTCCGGCAGACATCTTCTTCCACGGCCACCTCCTCTCCCACCTCCCTGACTCATCCTGCTCGTTCACCAACTCCACCGTCGTCCTCACCCTTACCTCTGTTGCTCCGGAAAATCGAGCTTCAAGCTCGAACCTCGAGCCATTAATGGCGGTCGCAGATGTCATGTTCACCGACTAAACTATAGGGCCGTCGATTTCATCCAAATCGGCAACCAGTCACGATTCAGAGGTCCTCCGGCGACGTCTGAAACCAAAGGCGGGAGACAGACGTGAATGATTGATGCGGGAGAAAATCAGATTTGTGTTTGGGGTATTCTATTACGGAATCATTTCGTTGGAGTTTGTAACCGTTAGATCAATTATCCACGACGATTACATGATGAACGAACAGTTATAAATCCTGATGGAATGCTTCCGTAAGGGGTTTGAATTGAGAATTCGATACTTCCCATCAGATTTGTGTTTGGGGTTTTGAACTGAGAATTTGATACTTCCCAGGGGCCTTAGTGCATTACAATATAATTAATGGCCTAAATTGTAATTAATTAAGGTGCTAATTGCACATTAAAGTTGTGACAGTGCACGTGAATTGAAGAATTTAATGGATAGAGAGGACTATTTGTACATTTGCATATTTTGTTATGCATGTATTATATTAAATAATAAAGAAATATTAAATAAAAATAATATATAAGATATTAAAATAACACAAAAGTATTTTGTAATAATAAATAAATTATATATTAAAAAATAATAAATAAAAAGTTATTCTAGTTATTTATGTTAATTTAATATACAAATATACACATAAGTTATATGGGAAATATAAATTAGTTAGTGCAATTTATTTAGGGGAATGTTGCACTTTATATAATAACATGTTGCACTTTATAAAACAATCATTGCACTGTATCACATCGTTTGTCTGCAAAAAAAAAAAAAAAAAGAATGCATTGCACTTTATACAATAATACGTTGCACCTTATAATATAACTATTGTTACTAATATTGTTATTTAATAAAAATAATTACACTATCAATTCACATTAGTGTTAGTCTGATTGGACGTTAATGTTTTTTAGATTGCACTTTAGCGATAAAAATATTGCACGTTAGTGACTGTCAGATTGTACTTTATCGACTGAATTACTTTTTTTTGTTCGAAAGCTATCTCGGATCGATTATATGTTTTTACCTTTAAAATTTTGTCATCTTTATTGTTATTTTTTCTTAAATACCCAAAATAATTGGACCGACCAAACCATATAAAAAAATACCATTTTTCATATATATTTTTTAATAATATTATTTTCAACCAAAATGAATAAATTATTATAAAAAAATTATTAATGTGCAATTTACATAATATTAATGCGCAATTTGATTATCCTAACATGCAATTTACATAACATTAATGTGCATATATTTAAATTCTCATAATTATAAATTTGCCTCACGACTTGAATTGTATTATATTTCAATTCATAAAATTGTAATTGAATCCTTTAAACATTTCAAATTTTCAAAAAAATGCCCCAAATTTACATGGATCGTATAAAGTAGTGCACTTTATAAAACAACACGTTACAATTTGTAAAACCACACGTTGAACTATATAAAATAAAACGTTGCACTATATAAAACAAGCTACACTTTATCACCGCACTTCACAATTAACGTCAACACGTCAACAGACAACACCAAAAATACTATACATCATAAATTTAATTTTAACATCCATCACATCATCTATTAACAAAAAACACAAGCATTATCCACAAAAAAACAAAAGCATGATAACCTACCAAAATTACCCTAGTACACTTTATATATAAACATATGCACTTTACATATAAACACGTCGCACCTTATAAAATAACACGCTGCACTTTATCACGACTATTAGAACGCACAAATAGTGAACGAAACCAACCGAGCTCCAATTTTTTTCAACAAAAAATAAATAGTAAAATTATTACCTTATTAAATATAACTTTAGTAAAAGTAACAAATTATTTCTCCAACAATAATGATAAATTCCGAACAAACTAAAATTATCGGTTAAAAAAATTATATTACAGTTCGATTACCAGCCTTTACTTTTAAAATTATAGTTATTTCAGATCGATGACGACTTTAGTTTTTAAAATAAACAAAATAACTGAACAAACCGAACTGTATAAAAAATATTATTATTTTTGTGTTTGTATTTTTTTATGTATCGTCGTGCGCATTAGAGTTACACGAGTTGCACATTAATGCCTATCGGTTGCACAATATCGACCGAACTAAATTTGTCAATTCAAAAGTTTACATTTCAGTTCAATTTTGTGTTTATTTATAAAATTACATTTATTTCGCGTCGTCTTTGTTTTTAGAAATTTCCAAAATCACCAACCTGACAGATAAAAAATAAT